AATTCCGGGAATGTCGCGAAATTTCGGGAATGTCGCGGAATTCCCGAAATGTCGCGAACCTTCGCGGAATTCCCGGAATTCTGCGACATTCACGGAAATTTTGCACATTCTGTGAGCGGTATTGTATTGGGCTCCAAACTATGCCTCGTGACCGTATTCGCATGGATTCATGGCTCGGCACATCATTTTCGCGTGATCCTCGCGCGAAAGCGCCACGAATCCATGCGAATACGGTAACGGGACATAGTTTGGAGCCCAATATCTTAGCCGTGAGTGCACTATCTGAGCTGCCGTTTGGGCAGAGTCTTATGTAGGGCCTCAAGATTACTTTCCACTTGAGAGCCGTATAGTTCCAGATTTGCCTGGTCGCCGTCTTTAAAGGGAAAGTTACTAGAGTACACGCTCTATGTATCGGGACTCTATTGTACTGACACCACCCACATTTGCAATTAAATTCCTCAGTTCAGAATTTTTCGAAAATTCTATTTAAGATAGTGTTTGTAGCAGAAGTACGTTAAGCATATTTATGAAATAAATTTGATAATTAACATTATTTAAGGCGAAAGTAGCGAGTCGAAGGAATCTCAAGATTTTGTCTTTTGAGTTTGAATGCTCAAAACTTCGGTAAAAGTAAAGATCTACGACAAACAATGCAACGGTAAAAAACTAGAAGTAATGCTCTTTTGATCATAAAAAGTTTTTGAAATAGTTGGTTCTGCTTTTTTGAAAACTGCCCCTTGAAAAAAGAGTACTATAAACTTGCATTAATATGAATCAATATAATATATTCCCGGATATGATTTGTAGATAAACGTTCTTCTTCACTTTTGACTTTGACGATGACTTCTTCAAATCATGGCCTACTTGACTGCCGCTGGAAATTTCACAAAAGTTAATATTGAACAAAAATGTAGCAAGTTCTAAAGTACTCACTTCAACAATAGGTGTACAGTTTAAAACAAGTTTAAAAATGAGTAAAAAATGTACCGTATTTGCATCGTTATGTTCATCATGACAGTGTAAATAGGTAACTTTTTATGATAGGCACAGCATATACGGTGCGTTTTTTACTCATTTTACAAAACTTGTTACTCACCTGATTTGCGCTCAAATGAAACCAATACCGTGATCAACGCTTATGCAATATGCTTTAACTAAAAAAACAAATTCAACTGAGATTGCATAGCCATTAAAGACGTTTTCATACAATTTCAGAAAGCTAACAGCTTTTTCGGATTTATTGCTTAGAAGCGCCTTTTGATTTTTTCATTTCAGATTATGTGAGAAGCATAAATGCTCAAAATGTCTTTTTTGTATTCGCAAGAATTGCCAGTCATATATATATTAGGTTGTCCCGAAAGTTTTGTCGGTTTTTTTCATTGCTCACTAAGGCTGCGTTCATACTGATTCCCTTGTTCTGGAACTGTTCCCGCACAGTTCTCGCACTGTGCTGAAACTGTGCGGGAACTGTGCGGGAACTGTGCGGGAACAGTTCCAGAACTGTGCTGCATGCGCTGCAGCCGCCCCGCACCGTTTTGAATGGCGGGAGTTGGAGAATTTTGACCGTTCTTAACGGTTTTTCTTCCAGATTTCGCTCATTTCGGCCTTATTCCTTCACCCCGCTTCCCTTTTTGATCAGCAGAACTTCGAACTCGAAGCGGGGTTGAAGAATGAGCGCTTTTCTGTTCCTATCGTGCGATTGTTCATTCTGTCTTCGTGTTTTTTGCTCAAAACTACTTCATTTGTTCCAGGAAGCGGCTGCCCAGTTTCCATAGCCATCTGCCACGAATTAGGGAGTAGGAGAAATCCTGAAATTGCATGAGTTGGGACTTGTCTCTTGTTTTTGATGATTTTGAACGTTCTCAGCCTTGTTCGTTTTTCCATATCGTTGTTCTCCGTTCTTTCTTCTACCCCGCTTCTCCTAGTGATGACAAAAGCTGTGAATTTGAAGCGGGGTTGAGGATTGAACGCTGTTCTGCTCCATGTATCCGGGAATATGGGCCTTCGTGCGCTCGTCCATTCTCTCATAGCTATTTTTGTTCAGACCTACTTCATGTGCACTAACAAGTCGCTGCGTATTCTCGCATCTGTATTGAAATTGAAATAGACAAGTCTCTAGAGCACATTAAGTAGGTCTGAACAAAAATAGCGATGTGAGAATGGACGAGCGCACGAAGGCCCATATTACCGGATACATGGAGCAGAACAGCGTTCAATCCTCAACCCCGCTTCAAATTCACAGCTTTTGTCATCACTAGGAGAAGCGGGGTAGAAGAAAGAACGGAGAACAACGATATGGAAAAACGAACAAGGCTGAGAACGTCCAAAATCATCAAAAACAAGAGACAAGTCCCAACTCATGCAATTTCAGGATTTCTCCTACTCCCTAATTCGTGGCAGATGTATGGAAACTGGGCAGCCGCTTCCTGGAACAAAGTAGTTTTGAGCAAAAAACACGAAGACAGAATGAACAATCGCACGATAGCCCATCTTTCCGAATACACGGAACAGAAAAGCGCTCATTCTTCAACCCCACTTCGAGTTCGAAGTTCTGCTGATCAAAAAGGGAAGCGGGGTGAAGGAATAAGGCCGAAATGAGCGAAATCTGGAAGAAAAACCGTTAAGAACGGTCAAAATTCTCCAACTCCCGCCGTTCAAAACGGTGCGAGGCGGCTGCAGCGCATGCAGCACAGTACCCGCACAGTTCCCGCACAGTTTCAGCACAGTGCGAGAACTGTGCGGGAACAGTTCCAGAACAAGGGAATCAGTATGAACGCAGCCTAACGCCCGCATGCACTAACAACCCCGTTGGGGAGGGGATCGCAGCTCAGAAGAAAGCTTCATATTCTGAAACTCCAGATATCTGGATTTCACGTTGTGTACGTAACCGTAAGTATTCCTAATATCCTTCACTATGAGCAAATTGAACAGGAGCGAGAAGCTTTACAAGCCGCATTTTCCAGCTTTTGTGTGATCCCTGACGATCCCCGGCGCTTTTCTTCAAAGTCATTTTTCTTTCTTTGAAGTTAACGAAAACCTTCCAAAGTTGTACCAATTATCTAACACAACAGTGCTAAGCATGTTACTGATGAGAACAAATGAGTTTTTGAAAAATCAAATTTTTCGATAAACTACAACTTTCGACTTGTGGTTCATCGCAAATCATGATTCCGATGCATCACTTGTTCTTATCAGCAACATGCTAAGCAATGTTGGGTTAGATAATCTGCACAACTTTGAAAACTTTTCGTTGACTTTGGAGAAAGAAAAATGACTTTGAAGAAAAGCGCCGGGGATCATCAGCCATCATACAAATGCTGGAAACTGCGACTTGTACAGCTTCTCGCTGGTGTTCAATGTGTTCATAGTGAAGGATAGTAGGAATACTTACGGTTACGTACACAACGTGAAATCCAGATATCTGGAGCTTCGGGATATGAAGCTTTCTTTTAAGCTGCGATTCTAAATTTTGAAAATTTCTATCCTGACACTTCTAAGGAGAGGTGATAACTGTTATGTAGAGCAAAGCTTTGGCTACATTATACCCCTTTTAGATTACGCGGGTCACGTTTACCGATTCTATCATAATTATCTACTTAATAAAAACCGCGGCTTTTTGATCACGCTTGCCACGTAAAAGTACTGAAAATTCCATAAAGCTGCTTTTTTAAAGCAAATAAAACTGGGTAATGTAAATAGTGTTTAATAAGAATCATGTTGCAATTCGCAGAAACTTCGGAAGTTTTCATGTTTTTGCTGCAGTTGCGTGTTTCATGACTTTGCCAAGAATCGAGACCTCCGAAGAAATTATTTTTTGAAGCGAAAATCAGTAGATTAGTGGAATTCAAAAGTATCTTCTTCTAGTCCTAGAATTGCTCTATTTAATCCTTACTTAGCCCTTTTCGAAGCTTGAAATAAAATTTTCAAAAATTAGCCGAACTATGAGCAGACAAAAATGACGGGTGAAGAATTTCAGCAATTATCAGAGAATGCATACAAAATTGTGGCTCGAAAACGTAACCACAAGAAAGAGAAGGAAAAGCTGCATAGAATATATGCCGAAGCTCATTCAGATCTTCATTGTGCATGGTCTTTTAGTGGTCTGAAGAAATCGACAAAACTTTCGGGACGACCTAATACATGTACATATAAAGGCCGCTGCATGACGAAGGCGCAATGGCGATATTAGTTGAGCGTGCGTGAACGCGACGCGCGCATATCCTCACCGTTGTAGATCCCGCACCTCATGCGCTCTGCGGCTAATAAAGCCGCGTTCGCGCCCGAAGATATTGCGCCTTCGTCATGCAGCAGCCTATAGGTACATATACTGACAACATGATAGATACGGGTATGTTGCTTTCGTAATCTCCGGTGTCTTACATCACAAAAATTTCCTATTTCCACAAGTCACCGGTCAAAATTTACCCTACGAGCATTGATGCTGCGGAATAGTAAGGAGTTCTTTCTGCAAATTGTTACTTTTCCCATATTTCTGCGGTTTTCAAAAGCACTGTTGTCGTCAAATAATGATTTGGTCGTTTGTTGGTTATTAGTTTGTAAGCACAACTTATCCCCGAGGCTATATTGTAAACTGTAAGCGAAATTTCTAGTTCAGACCATTACAGTTTTGGCGTTGCTGTGAGAAGTGCGTGAATCGGTGCGAATCTTGACCAGAGTTGAGCAAGAGGTCACCAAGTTCTTCGAAAACGACCCTCCCCCCCCCCCCATGAAAGCCCTCGAACGACCCCTTTTTCCACCGTTAAACCTTCGGGACCTCAGGATGTGATATTCTGTAACACAACATCCTTTTCTAGAGAGGTTTCAGATTTTTTAGAACTGTACGCCCGATTTTCGTGACTGCACTTTACAAACACGTTGACGGCTGATTTTGATCTGAATGGGCCGATTGAAAGGACCATAATTTTTCTAGGAGTGGGGCGTTCGGCCCCAAATTTCCGCTGTAGCAAGAAGAAGCTATGAGCTTAATACTCATACCAAGAATGGAGCGATTTCTGGATTTTGAAGGCAAGTTAAGGGGGCCATACCCTACCCTTAAAAGCTCAGGCCGCCTGACTTTTTGAGAAGTTGCGCCTGACCCCATTAACTTTATCACCGAAGAAGCTTTTCCACCTCAGTTCTATATGAATCGCTAGCATAAACCTCGGAGATTCTACAATAAGTGTTTGAGCTTATCACGACTTGTTAGCTTTGTGGTGATCGTTGGAGTTGAAGCGCTCAAGGCAGAAAACGCGGTGACCAACATTGTGGCAGCACTTCTTCATTCATCTGAAAGCGATGTGAAGTCTAGTTCTACCATAGACTGATATAGAGTAATATATCGTTACGAATACGAAAAAACGGACTTCTTTCACTTTTGTACTAAGTTAATCATATTTTAAAATCATGCTTTTTAGACATTCGGAATCATTAGAAAATGTAATGGTAATGGTTTGTGGAGCTCGTTGAGGTAATTTAGAATGCTGATTACGAAAATCGTAGCATGGAAAGCTACTTTGGTGACCTACGGTATGTGTAAGGTAGAAAAATTGAAATTTGGCTGACACTTTGTTAGTCGAGTTAGTGCTGTTCACGACACTCATTCCCCTGGTGGAGTTGTGTCACAGTTGAGCGCTTTTCCTCTTCAGTTTACTCGATCGTAGTATTTCCTCGATTTTAGAACGAGTTCGCTTCTTAATTACGACCCTCCCCTCATGCTCCCCGCTCTTGACCTAATACGACCCCCCAGCTCGGGGGGGGGGGGGGCGCCTGACCCCACGCTCAACCCTGATCTTGAACTAGTTAGTAAACCTACAATTAGCTGCGAATTTTTTGAAAAACTAGCAGGGACATCTGACTTCGCTCGAATTCTATCAAAATAACCAGGTGGAACATACCATAACATAATATAACTCACCATTCTCCCTAATTGCACAAATATACGGGGGCCTATCCCACTTGTATCTTGCAGATACCTGCCCTCCTTTCCTTGACCCTTGCTCTACCTTATCTTCTGCATCACATCATAGCCATAGATCGAAGTTTGCAAGGGAAAGCGAAAAACCACAGCAATAATGGGTGTTTTCTATAATTACATTATTTCAAATAAGCATGCTCACACCTACCATTTGATTCAACTGGCTTGGCTTCGGAAAGGAAGGGGCTTCATGACCTAATTAAGGCTAGGTAATGAGAGAGCACTCGCGCAAGAGAGACGCAGGTGCATCGCGGGTGCGAGCGGCCTTGATTAAGTCACGAAGCCCCGCTTTTCAAAAACCAAGCCGGTTGAACCAAAGGATATCTTCTTGTTCCAACTCCTGGCCACGCAGTTCAAAGTCTGCAAAACATACGGACAAACAGACATTCCGCTCTTTGCAAAAAGATGAAAGGGAAGCCAAAACTGTTGCAGTCAAGAGTTTCTTTTTCTTTAAAGTACAATCTTGTTTGAATCCTTTGTTGTTTCGTAAGCAACGGTCAAGATTGCTTCGGTTTTGTCAACTAAACATGGTCAATATCGTAGACCGAACGTCGAAAGTGATTCTTGTTGGTCACGTGTTTTCGTTTCAGATATGCTCATTCATATGATATTGGCAATTTGTATCGCTGGAGCGGTGGGCAGAGCTGGAACCCCTAGATCTAAAGACAGTACCGCTGCTGACATACTAGCCGATCAAGTTCCAGATCTGTCAATTTTGCCAGAAGAAAGGCAACGCGTACTTGGTGCACCTGCTGCATTTGGTGAGTACGAAGATACAAATTTCGGAAGTGGTATTCTGTTTTTAGGAATTGGGATAGGGCTTGGAACTATGTTGTTTGGAGCCGGAGTGGCCGGATTGGGATATGGGGCATACAAAGTTGCACAATTTGTGTACGAAAAATACAAAGCAGCCAGAACTTTTCTCGAAGAGAACTTGCCAATTATTGGCTGATCTGGGCAGAATTATGGGCTTTTTCGTCTTCATTTAAGCCTCCTGTGAAATAAAAAAATTACTACATACAGTTCGCGACGTGGAGGTATCACCAAAAGGAGATAAGACCACTAACAAATCCAAACACTGATAAGAGAATCTCAAACGTGAGCCTGCGAGCATATATCGCAGATGCCCTGCGGGATCACGCACTTAGTAAAATGGAAGCCTACTAGACTGCCGCATTATTATACGGAGCGTCCTAAAAAATTACGAACTTTAATCGCCAGTGACTCTCTTGCCTAGATAGAGGTAATCATGGAGCTGGTATCAAGCTGAGCATGCAGAGACGAATCAGCCATTGCTCAACGTTTGCACAGGGTTACAGTAAAACAAATCAGCTTTCAACTTCCACTGAATTTCTTCTCGAGTACGATTCTTTGCCCTATAACACTACAATTTGGTTTTTCTTTTAAGTATTGCAACTTTTTTGTTCGGGCTTTGGGGGGGGGGGGGGGGAAGAGGGGGGGACACCTTACTTTTACCTCCCAGAATCTTTGGAACATCGCTGTAATTTTTTTAGGAATCATCGACTAGATGATTATGTAAAAAGAGGTTTACGCGAGTTTTCTAAAGCAGTGTTCTGAAGAGAGAACGGTAAACTCATGGACACCCACTCATAAACTGCTCAGATAATCGCCGGGGGTAAGCGGCCATGCGATTTATGGGGGGCGGGCACCGGAAAAATAGTTCGCTGATTTCTTGCGGACCGCTTGCAGATATTTGGAAGAATTTTGGCAAAAATTTGGGCGAATGCTCGGAGAAAAACTGCGGCTTCTCATAAATTAGTTGCGGCGCAATGACCGCTTTCCGCGAGAATATGTAAAATTTTCGAGAGCAGCACAGTTCTTTGTGGAGAACCGCTCAGCCCCAGGTACTTTCATGAGAGAAAAAACCTCAAACTTGAGTAATTAAACCACCGATGAAACGTTTCCTCCATAGAGTCTCACCTTCCCTCGGCGTACGCCCGAAACTGCTTGAAAACCGTCCGAGCGCCAGCTGAAAATTTGGCCGGCGCTCGCTGAAACATATTATTTGGCGAGTTCCTGCAGAAAATTCTGTGTTGCTGCATAACATTCGAACAGAACATTAGACAGTAAAGGAGGGCTGCCCATCTGCAAAAGCATCAACACAACTGAAAACGCTAATTGGTAAAATACTTGCTAAGAATGCCAAATTTTTTTGAAGGCAGCGTCCGGGCAAGTGTTTTTATAATGAGTAAAAAGCAGAATGCAATGCCGACAAACCTCTCTTATCCATGGCATTGCACTAATTCGCTTCTGAAAAAAAAAACGCTACAGAAGCAACGAATGGGGCCCTCAAATGATAAGTAAGAGTCGCCTCGCACACAATCAAGATGTAAGGATCAACAATGACTCTTTTTGATCGCGGTGGCGGAGGTCCAAATCTAGAAACAATGATTTCCAGAAAACTCATTTTCACATTAGTGCTTTACAAACCGAATTTTTGGAATAAGCGAGAAGGACAAGGCCAGGTAAGCGAGGAAAGCGATTCATTCAGTAATCGGCTCTAACGCTGCTTTTATGAAAGAATCATGTAAACAGAGATCTTATCTTTCAGAAAATTTTGTTTAGTAGGCGGGAGAGGAAAAAAGAGCTGTTTTTATTAGTGTGGCCAACATTTTCAAGGCTTTGTTTCTCCCGCAGTAACTCATTCTTCATTTTCTAATAGGTACTGCTATATTCCTCAACAAGATCGTGCCTTCATAATTGCACAAGATTTGTTTCGTTTGAAATTTTATTCGAGATTTAGCGAGATTTGAATGCCCGAAATGTCGAAAAAAACTTGTTTCCATCTGGGAAGCCTACAGGTTTTGCGAAATCGAGAAGCATACATACGAAAATCAAGCCAGAAACACGAAAAAGTAGTTTCTTTGGGCTTTTTGCGCTAGATCCGACATTTCTAAAAAAATACCTGTAATAGACCAGAAAATCATGGCTATACTTCCGAAACTTCACGATATAGATTTACGGAGCAGCCCATTGCAGCTTCAGCAAAATTGAAAGAAAATTCGTACTCAAGCAACAGAAAAAATGAACAAGTTTACAGGTAGATGCCAGTATAGGCAGAAATAAGCAAAAAGCTCGTGGAACTTCTCCGAATAGAGATAAGGTTTTTTGCAATTGTTTCTTTATCAAATTCTATCTGAAAAATTTTTGAGCCAATATAGAGAGCGATCCTGCTTTGCTCTGGGGCTTGGTACCGCAGAACTTGCTCAAAGAACAAGAAGAATGCGAGTTACCAGTACGTCGCCTCTGCTTCGAGGAAGCTCGCACTGGTACTAGTGACTGTATGCTCCTCATGGTCGCAAATTGATGGCCTTGACATTCGCCGCGCTATGCTGACTGTCACAACTGAATTGTAAACAACTTTTATTCGGAAAGCTTTTTCAAGTAAGATTGGTAACTTTGGGAAGATAAAACCATTTCGCGAAAAAATAAATGCGACCTTGAACAGTTGCTGGAACTTTTATAGCTTGATGTTCGTGGGACTTGCTTTACAAATTTCGGAACAGACACATTCAAAAGAGGACAATGACACTCTGCGCTATACCTCTTACAAAGATCTTTTCAATTTCTCCAAAGAAGTTGAAACATCAAAGATTCACTTTGCTGTTCCCTTTTTAGCGTTCTCGCAAAAAAAAAACTATACATTCTAATTACTTTCTGGGCTTGAAAGAAAAAGAGCGCAAAAAATCTATACGAACTCAGTTTTGCCCATGAAGCCGTGGACTGTTCGAGGCGCAATTTTTGTGGGGTCCATAGGAGCCGCTCGAATTTGTGCATGGCTAATACACATGTTGGGAACATATGCTACTCAAAAATCAGGCTCAAAACCTTAGCTGGGACTTGCTTCACGAATTTAGAAAAAGACACATACAAAAAACGTAAACAACCCTGAGCTTGATGTTATAAGTAACGGTGTCATTTCCTTTTTCCTATCCTTCGTGCTGAACTAAATCTTTTGAAGAATAAAATGTGCATTTACATTATTTGCTTTCATATCGCGCCTACCAGGCCTTGTCCTTACCGCTTCTTCCGAAAACCAGTTTGTAAAGTCCGAAAATGTGAAAACGGGTTTTAGAAGCCCTCGATATTGAATTTGGACGCCTGCCACGGAGGTTGAGAAGAATCGTTGTAGAACCCTACGTCTTAAATGTGTGCGAGAGCACTCTGCTCATCGATTCGAGGGCGTTGTAGTCGTCGGAAGGGTTTTTTTTTTCGCTCCAGAAGCAGATTGATGCAGTGCCACTTGGGCAAGGCCATTGCACTCCGCTATTTTCTTGTTATCGTTATATCTGTGCTGACGCTGCCTATAAAAACAGTGATGAATCAGTCAGGAAGTGTTTTGACCATTAGCGTTCACAATAGAGTTGATGTTTATCATAGCAAACAAGCAGCTCATTTTCACAATACAATCCTTTTTTAAAACCAACACACACCTTCTTTTCTTGCAACAAGAGTGTCTCTTCTAGTTTTTCCGTTTCCTTTCCAGAATACTGATCTGGAAAACTGACAAAGTTCGTTTTATGTGTTGTCTGGTCGATGAGTGCTAGAAACGAAGGAAGAATAGGCTAAAGATTTTGTTATAAGTAGCAAGGTATCCAGACAATTGTACCGGTAACTTTATTGATAAAATTCCCTGAAAACAATTGCGAATCCTTCGTCAATATTAAGCCACTGAACACGAATCATACAATGCATAAAAAATGGAAACTTTGCTCGTGCCCTTCCATACATCTGCTTCACGTGTGCCAAACAATCAAGCAGAAAATGGACACGAAGAAATGATACATGTCAAAGAATGATCGTTATTTCATGATAAACTATAATAGTATAGTGTACATTCCGGCCAGCTTCCTCTGAACATATTCCTTTGACGCTTTAGAAGCAAAGTAAAGGTTGTTCGAAACCCTGTCCCTCATGAAAAGTGAAGGTTAACTAGATAAATTGAAGTAAAGAAAAAACAAAGGTTGATTTCGGATGTCTTGACTACCAAAGAGGAAGATACACATAAAGAAAGCTACGAAACCGTGAAGTTTTGCTGTTCTAAAGTCAAAGTCTACATCAAAGCCGTTCAAATTTGATGTTGTTAGCATTGCTCTGCTCATCATGCTGAGCAAGAAACGCTGCGTATGTTAACGCCAGCATTTTGATAATATAACAATATCAATACGTTGACGTCCCTATCTCGTCCCCCTCGGCTTAGACGATATGTATGACTCTTTGCAGATTGGTAGACAAAAGCTAAGGAAACACTCGTCAAATATGCTTACTCTGAATTTTACTGGGCCAAGAATATGATGGACTTGCTATTACGAATTTCTAGCCTTGCCATTAACTGAAAGAGTGAACTTAAGAGTTTTTGAACTAGTAGTCGGTTTTTTTGCAGAAGATAACTTGCCCCGGTAGGAAAACGTTGGCAGAAATCAAAATGTAATGTGAGGATTCGTATCCTTCCTCGTTTGATGAGTGCTCCCCGGAAGCATAAGCGCATTCTATTCAACTTTTTTTTCAGAAAGTGCATACTAATTAAACTATTGCAAAATCTTCAATGCATAACACACGATGAGTATGTAAGCGTCTAAGAAGTCGCGACGGGTATATACAGATAAGGCGATGAGCGATATTCACGCAATGAACGGTCATCCAGGCAGCCTAGTCTTTTATCCTCGCATGTGTCCCGCTTATGCAGGGTCTGCTTTTCTCGCCAGAGTCTTCATGTTATTCTATCTGAGGCAAGGTGTTCGTCTATACCAAGTTCTCGCAGATCGGCCTTGACTCTGTCCATCCACCTCATTTTGGGCCTACTTCTGGGTCTTTTGCCTGGTGCTTCCACCGCCAAGGCTAACCTTGTGATGTGACTTTCATCCCTTCTGCGCACATACCCATACCACCGTAGCCTCTTTTCTTGCATTTTCCGGGCAATTGGAGCGAATTTCATTTTAGCTCGTATAGTGTCGTTGCACATGTGAT